TCGAACCCGCCACCTTAGGTGTACGTGGCTGGCGCCTTAGCCGGTTGAGCCACAGGCGCCGAGCCCACAAATATTAATTGTAAGTGTTACAGTTTAGTGGGGAACACAGACAAGTTTGTTAATAATAATGTGGAAAAGGAAAAACTATCCTAGTTTCTAGGTTTCAGACTGAGTCCCTGATATGAAGGAAGTCTCCACAGATGTTCACTAGGCATCTTCCACAGGCACAACTCCTAACAGTGCCTCTTCTTGTGAGGAGAGGCACTGTTCATCACCATTCTAAAAAGAGTGCCAGAGTTATATACACAGGTCATTACAAAAATCAAAAATCAAGAAACATAAAGTCCACTTTGACAGAAACAAATGAAGCCCTCCCAGCAACACCAGTAAGCCGAGCAAGTTAAAAATTGCACAAATGAATCAGAAAAGACACTGTGGACTGTGTTTCTTGTAAAGCAAAATAATGGACTATATCAGTCTGTCTCAAAACCTGCATAGTGACTCTCATACAGCTGCACAGTAAAGCTGGAATCCATGTCACGCACACTCATCCCAAACACACTATTGGACCCTCCAGGGCTCTGTATCTGAGGATCAGCTAATGAAGCAGACTTTCCTAGTTCAGCTTTTCACCCCTAAATGCATGCATGGGTACACACACACTTGCACACCAGACACATGCACATACTCATGTGCCCAAGCATTCCAAGTAGTAGTAGCTGTTGACAGCATGCCATTAGAATAAGCCTCCAGGAATAGGTTGACAAGGCAGAGGTCATATAGCGAAGAGCCATTCTTAGCTCCCTTGGAAACTGGGCTAACTGGTCCAACTGGCCCAGCCTCCCCATATCTGGCTGACTTGCCAAGGCAGGCTGCTGGGCTTCTTGTTCATTAGTACAGAATGAGGAGATGGAATTGGGAAGACCCACAACCAACACTTGAGAACAATCAGAAGTGTCAGGACTCCAGCTAGGAGGAGTGGGAGCCACCTCAGAGTTTGCACATTTCCAGTGTGGGCATAGAACAGGGCTCAAAACAAATAACTAAATCTCAGCAACAGAGTGGAAGAATATCAAAGGCTGGCTCGGTGCCCGTAGCACAGCGGTTACGGCGCAAGCCATATATACTGAGGGTGGCAGGTTCAAACCCAGCCCGGCCCACCTAAACAACTGCAACAAAAAATAGCCAGGCATTGTGGCAGGCATCTGTAGTCCCAGCTACTCAGGAGGCTAAGGCAAGAGAATAGCTTCAGCCCAAAAGTTTGAGGTTGCTGTGAGCTATGATGCCATGCACTCTACCGAGGGCAACTATATCTCAAAAACAAACAAACAAACAAACAAACAAACAAACAAAACCAATTATCAAAGGCTGCCCTCAGCAAGTCCCTTCAGATTCAGAGAAGATTCTACCACGAATCTCTAGAGTGTTTCACCTTGAGGTGCAACTGAAATCCTCTCAAACTGAGCTGGCCTATCTCAAGGAAGCTTTTAGAGTATTTGGAATAATAGGTCTGAGAGTGTGTGTGTCTGTGCACTCACATGCGAGTGTGAGTCCACATATAGTACCTATGAATGCACACACATTTGTTGAGTGGGTGTGGGGTTTGAAAAGAGGGAAGAATTTTCTAAAATGAAAAATTTAAAAGGATTAGGAATAGGTACTTGAAAGTAATACAGCTGATTAATAAAAGAGGGAAAGGTACAATAGTCACCCCATTGTTGGGGAAGGAACGATAGCCAGGAAGTGGGTGAGGGCCAGATCTGCCACCCAGGAGCTGGGAAATGAGAGTCCTTGATGAAAACAACTGCCTCCCTTCTTTTGTCTCTTCTCTTGCTTCCCTCCTCCTACTTCTCCTTTCTTTCCCATATTCTCATGCAATGTGTCCCACTGTCAAAAATGAGGTGAGTGGGCAGAATTTTTGAACAATGTGACAGAAATAAAGCACTTATAGACTGCCATTATTCCCCACACCAGAAAACATGCCTGCCACTTTATTTATGAGCAGCAACGGCTGGCAGAATGTCAGCTTCACAACACATATTTATAAACCCAACCAGAAAACCAAGTCTAATTACCACTTCCAAGCCCACACTTCAATGCCTAGACGTGAGTCTATTTTTCTACAACTTTCTACAAATGGACCTTTGGAATTATTCTTAAAAGAAAGCTATGTCTCTCAAGTATAAAAACCTGTAATCACTGGGAGAAAAAAAGGCACACTTTCCCTTCCTACCAACATTAAGACCAAAAATTAAGATATAAAAGCCCTAGTGAAAAAAACTTTAAGGCAAAATATCTTACATTCTATAAATGTCACATTAATCAAATATTCAGAGTAAATAGCTGTAATTCAGGAAAGTTCCATTACCTTTTAAAAGCAGTGCTTACTTTTCTAATTCCTTTAACACACCCCTAGACAAAGAATCTTTTAGTTATTAGGTAAAGACCAACCACCCTTGCATCTCTAAAAAGACTGACTTTCCTCAAGGTGTTGGCAATGGCAGTACCCTTGCCCTCCTCTTGCCTGAGGACCAAAAGTTGGACCTTTGGATTCTCCAGCAGGCGATAATTATCACCAAGTTGATTAGTTCAATAATAGGGCCCTAATACTTGTGCAAAATTGTTTCTTAGAAGTTTCAGGTAGCTGGTCATTCCTTGGAAAAGCCTCTGCCAGGTTTAAAGAAACAATGCTTCTTTAAGTCAGAAGTTACCAAATTGTCTCAGCCCTGTAATATCCAGACCTCTCTAAAAGAAGCTGGAATAGAAAGGGTACTATATCTTGAATAACCTCAAATCAAATTGGCTCTAATCAAATAGTAAGTTAAATTCAATATGGTGGGGGCATTGATTGAATATAGGAACTGAAGGATGCTTGGAGAAGCTCTAATCCCATTTTACAGAAAAGGTAACAATAATTGCTAAGTAACAGTGATTGCTTATTGCGCACATGCTATACTCTACAGACTGTGCTCATGTATTTAGCAGCATGATTTCATTTAATGCTTTCCACAACCCTATGGGACAGATTCTATTAAGATCCCCATTTTAGGCTCGGCGCCTGTGGCTCAAGTGGCTAAGGCGCCAGCCACATACACCTAAGGTGGCGGGTTCGAATCCCCAGCTTGGCCCGCCAAACAACAATGATGGCTGCAACCAAAAAATGGCCGGGTGTTGTGGCGGGCGCCTGTAGTCCCAGCTACTTGGGAGGCTGAGGCAGGAGACTCGCTTGAGCCCAGGAGTTGGAGGTTGCTGTGAGCTGTGATGCCATAGCACTCTACCCAGGGGGATAGTTTGAGGCTCCGTCTAAAAAAAAAAAGATCCCCATTTTAGGGGCAGCACCTGTGGCTCAGTGAGTTGGGCGCCAGCCCCATATACTGAGGGTGGCAGGTTCAAACCCGGCCCCGGCCAAACTGCAACAAAAAATAGCCAGGCGCAGTGGCGGGTGCCTGTGGTCCCAGCTACTCAGGAGGCTGAGGAAGGAGAATTGCCTAAGCCCGGGAGTTGGAGGTTTCTGTGAGCTGTGTGATGCCACGGCACTCTAGCGAAGGTGATAAAGTGAGACTCTGTCTCTACAAAAAAAAAAAAAAAAAATCCTCATTTTATAGGAGGAAAGTAAGGCTTTGAGAACCTCAGTGCCTCAAATCCCATGTTTGGCAAATGGGAGCATGGGAGT